AGGGTGGAAATCCAGGGAAGGAACATCCCCGTGTCTGGGAATCCCAGGAGGAGATTCCAGGAATTYGGGGTCACTGCCATGGTTTGGGGATCTCAGGGTGGGAATTYCGTAAATCCGGAGACAAAATCATGATTGGGGGATTCCAGGAAGAGAATTCCAGGAATCCCAAGTCATTTCCATGGCTAGGGGGTCCTAAGGAGGGAATTATATGGATCCAGAGTCAAAACCATGTCTGAGGTATCCCAGGGAGGAAATTCCATTAATTCAAAGTCGTTCCCATGGTTTGGGGATCTCAGGGTGGGAATTCCAAGAATCCAGAGTCAAAATCACATCTGGGGTATCCCAAGGAGGGAATTTGGAGTCACTTCCATGTCTGAGGGGTCTCCAGGAGGGAATTTCAGGAATTCGGGGTCACCGCCATGGTTTGGGGATCTCAGGGTGGGAATTCCTTAAATCCGGAGTAAAAATCATGATTGGGGTATCCCAGGGAGGGAATTCCATGGATTCAGAGTCAAAACCAGGTCTGGGGGATCTCCATTAGGAAATTCCATGAATCCAGAGTTGAAATCATGAGTGGGGGATCCCAGGGTGGGAATTCCATGGATCCAGGGTCACCACCATGGTGTTGGGGGATCTCCATTAGGAAATTCCATGAATCCGGAGTCAAAATCATGAGTGGGGGGATCCCAGGATGGGAATTTGGAGTCACTTCCATGTCTGAGGGGTCTCCAGGAGGGAATTCCATTAATTCAGAGTCACTTCCATGGCTGGGGGATCCCAAGGAGGAAATCCCATAAATTTGGAGTCACCCCTATGGCTGGGGATCCCAGGGAGGGAATTCCATGGATCCAGAKTCACCCCCAGGTCTGGGAAATCCCAGGAAGGGAATTCCTCCCTGAGATCTCCCCAGCCGCACAGAAAACGGGGAGGAAAAACCCTTTAAAAATCCAATTTAAAGCCCCAAACCTCCCTGCCCACATTCCTGGAGTTGGGATCACCTCGGGGTCACCTCGAGACCCGGGGGGTGACAGGGAGGGGACTCGGGGTGTTCTGAGCTCCTCCAGAATTCCCAATTGTGATCCCAATTGCTACTCCCCCATTTCCCGGGTTGAACCTACTCAAATCCCACTCAAATCCCGCTCAAACCCTGCTCAAATCCCGCTCAAACCTCACTTAAACCCCTCTCAAATCCCGCTCAAGTCCCGCTGTCTCCCCAGGTGCCCGGAGGAGTGGTGAACACCCTGTGCGGCTATCGGACCCTGGACAAGCAGGTGACATCGGGTTTATGGGGGATTTGATGGTTTTTATTCCCCAAATCCCAAAATCCCAACACTCCCTGAGGGAATTCCCCTTCCCAAGCACTTCCTGGACAAGGAGGTGATGGTTTTACGGGGAATTCTCTTCTCCTTCTGCCCCAAATCCCAAAACCCCAAACACTCCCTGCGGGAATTCCCAAAAACCTCCTGGACAAGGAGGTGACGTTGGATTTATGGGGAATTAACTGATTTTTCTCCTCCAAATCCCACAACCCCAACCCTCCCCAAGGAATTCCCAACAACACCCGGACCTTGAGTCCGGAACTTCCTTTGGATGAGAACAAAAATTTTCTTCCCCAAATCCCAAAACCCAAACCCTCCCTGCCCTCCCTGCAGGAGTTCCCAAAAACCTCCTGGACAAGGAGGTGACATTGCATTTATGGGTCATTCTCTGATTTCCCCAAATCCCAAAATCCCAAACATTCCGTGTGGGAATTCCCTGTCCCAGGCACCTCCTGGACAAGCGAGTTACATCAGTTTTATGGGGAATTCACTGATTTTTCTTCCCCAAATCCCAAAACCCCAAACGCTCCCTGCAGGAATTCCCAAACACCTCCTGGACAAGGAGGTGACCTTGGATTTATGGGGCATTCAAAAACCCCAAACCCTCCCTGCAGGAATTCCCAAAAAACTCCTAAACAAGGAGGTGACATCAAATTTATGGGGAATTCAATAATTTTTCTTCCCCAAATCCCAAAATCCAAACCCTCCCTGCYCTCCCTGAAGGAATTCTCAAAAACCTCCTGGACGAGGAGGTGACATTTKATTTATGGGGGATTTGCCGATTTTTCTCCCCCAAATCCCACAAACCCAAACCCTCCCTGAAGGAATTCCCAACATCATCTGTACCTCGMGTTCGGAACTTCCTTTGGATGAGAACAAAAATCTCATCCCACTGATATTCCTGCCAAAAAAAAAACCCAAACCCCAATCCGGGGATTTTCCTTCCCAAACTGCCGGGAATTCCCAGGAACACTGGGGAAGTTCCGGAACCTTCTCTTTCGCAGCGCCTGGAGCTGCTGGGCACCATCCACGTGCGGGGCTGCATCCACGCCGTGGGGCTCTGGCTCAAGGACAACTTCGAGGCCACCTTGGCCATCGTGTGCTCGCTGCTGCTGCCGCAGGTATGCCGGGATCCCATGGGAATTCTGTTCTGGAAAGTTCTGGGCTGGGGGAGAACCATGGGATCACCCCAAAAGGGATGAATTCCCGATTTTTGGGTTTTGTCAGCCATTTGGCCATCGTGTGCTCACTGCTGCTGCTGCAGGTATGCTGGGATCCCGCAGGAATCCTGTTCTGGAACATTCCGGGCGGGGGGAGACCCATGGGATCACCCCAAAAAGGACAAATTCACGATTTTTGGGGTTATTGACTACCTTGGCCATCGTGTGCTCGCTGCTGCTGCCGCAGGTATGCGCGAATCCCGCAGGAATTCTGTCCGGAATATTCCAGGCTGGGGGAGATCACAGGATCACCCCAAAAAAGGACAAATTCCCAATTTTTGGGGTTATCGGCCACCTTGGCCATCATGTGCTCGCTGCTGCTGCTGCAGGTACGTGGGGATCCCACGGGAATCCGGCTCCGGAACATTCTGGGCGGGGTGTGACCCATGGGATCACCCCAAAAAGGACAAATTCATGATTTTTGGGGTTTGTCAGCCATTTGGCCATTGTGTGCTCGCTGCTGCTGCCGCAGGTACACAGGGATCCCATGGGAATTCTGTTCCGGAACGTTCCGGGTGAGGGCGACCACGGGGTCACCCCAAAAGGGATGAATTCCCGATTTTTGGGGTTTATCAGCCATTTGGCCATCGTGTGCTCACTGCTGCTGCCTCAGGTACGCAGGGATCCTGTGGGAATTCTGTTCCGGAACATTCTGGGCCGGGGTAGAACCATGCGATGGCCCCAAAAGGGATGAATTCCCGATTTTTGGGGTTATCGGCACCGCCAACGGAGTGATCTCAGGGCTCATCTCCTGTCCTTGTGCTGGAGGAGGGGAAAGAAATGGTTCAGAGTTGGTTTTCTGCCCCAATTCCAACTGGGATTTGGGGCTGGGGCAGGAAAATCATCCCCGGTGGAATGGATGGAATGAGGATGGCTCGGATCCCTCCGGAAATCCCATTTGGGATCAAGCAAGAAACCCTAAAAGCAAAGCCCAGGAGCGCGGCGGGTCCCGCCCTGTTCAATTTTCAATAATCCTGCTTTTCCAGATTTTATTTTTGAAACAATTCCTGATTTCCCAGGCTTTACTATTGAAATGATTCCCAGTTTTCCAGGCTTTGTTTTCCAGGCGGGAAGGGCGTGGATAAAGCAGCAGCTGCGGGGGAAATTTGGGGTTAATTTGTCAGAGGCGCAGATGGCTCCGATGGATCCCGAGGCAGGGGAGCCCTTCCCGCCCAATCCTGGCTGCCATTCCCGAATTTTTTATGGAGCTTTTCCTTCCAAAGATGCAAATGAGCATCTGCGGGAAATGCAGGAATGGGGGGAAAGAGCTGGAATTGGGGGAAAAAATGCTGGAATGGGGGAAATGTGCTGGAATGGGGGAAAATCGCTGAATTGGGGGAAAAGTGCTGGAATGGGGGGGAAGTGCTGGAATTGGGGAAAAATGTTGCAATGTGGGGAAATGTGCTGGAATTGGGAGAAAAGTGCTGGAATGGGGGGAAAAGTGATGGAATTGGGGGAAAAACATTGGAATAGGGGGAAGTACTGGAATTGTGGAAAAGAAGTGCTGGAATGGGGGGCAAGCACTGGGATGGAGGGGGAAAGCACGGAATGGGAGGAGGAAAAGAACTGGAATGAGGGAGAAAAGTACCGGAATTGTGGTGGGGGGAAAATCGCTGGAATTGGGGAAAAAGTGCTGGAATTGAGGAAAAGTGCTGGAATGGAGGGAAAACACTGGGATGGGGGGAAAGCTCTGGGATGGGGGGAAAATCGCGGGAATGGGGGGTGGGAAGTACTGGGATGGGGCCAACCCCCCCTGCCCATCCCAACTCATCAGCGCTAATGCTCACGGCCTCATCAATTAATAATCGGCTCTTAATTGGGAATGTCGGAGACAAATCCCCGGGAATGCTGAGCATTGATGGATCTCATTGCCTGGTGCTAATTGGGAATGCTGGGGACAAATCCTGGGAATGCCAGGAACTAGTCCCTGGGAATTCTGGGGACAATTTCTGGGAATTTGGGGACAAATCCCCAGGAATGCTGGGAACAAATTCTGCAAATGCTGGGGACAAATCCCTGGAAATGCTGAGCCCTGATGGATCTCAAGGGCCACTGCTAATTGGGAATGCTGGGGGCAAATGCCCTGGAATTCTGGGGACTAATCTCCAGGAATGCTGAGCACTGATGGGTTTCAAGTGCTGCCCATAACTGGGAATTCAGGGGACAAATCCCTGGAAATGCTGAGCATTGATGGATCTCAAGGGTCACCACTAATTGGGATTGCAGGGGACAAATCCCCGGGAATGCTGATGGAACTCATTCATTAACAGCCTGGTCTTAACTGGGAATGCTGGGGGAAAATCCCTGGAATCTGGGGACAAATCCCCGGGAATGCTGAGCCCAGATGGATCTCGAGTGCCTAATGCTAATGGGGAATGCTGGGGACAAATCCTCAGAAATTTTGGGGACAAGCCCCCAGGAATGCTGAGCCCTGATGGATCTCAAGTGCTTTGGCTCATTGGAAATTCTGATCCCAGTTCCCTGGGAATGCTGAGCACTGATGGATTTGGAGTGCTGCCACTAA